CCAGAGCGAGGTCTTCGTCGGGGAGCGACTCGGGGATCAGTGGGGGGGCGGGGGCCACTGCGCCAGCGGATGTCCAGAGGCCGCTCCCAAGCGAGGCTGAGTCAGACCACCTTGTGGTGGTCTCCGACCAGGTGGACGACAACGGACTGCCTATCCCCTGGTGTCGGATGTGGTCTGCTCGCGCTTTCGCCGGGGACTTTGACGACGGCGCAGGGGTATACTGACTTGGCGATGGCCTTCTCGCGAGCCTTGCGCGTCCGGCGTCGTGCGAGGCGTTTGGCGCACGGGGCGGAGGAGGATTATTTCACGTTGGCTGCTTGAGCACGGGGAACACTTGTCCGCGCGCATCACGAGCGCTTGTCTGCTTTCCTTCCCTTGCTTCTTCCCTCCGCCCATCCTCGCTGCAAATCCCCCCCTTCTGCGCAAACACATACTTTGGCAGTGTCGCCCGTCCATGCCGGACGGCCAGCCGATTCGATAACCCACCCTCAACTACGTTATGTTTCCTGGACAGTGCTCGCGCCGATGGGCGGCCACGCGTTCCACGAGGGTCGTCGCGCAGGGCGACGATGCAATTTGATGGCGTCGCGCCCGTCTGCCGTCGCAGGGGGGTCGTCAGCTGATAGCGCCACCACGCTGTGGCCAGGGGGCCTTCTACCCGGGGCGTGGCCTTGGATATGCGGCGTTGGGTGTCCTCGGCAGCTGCCGGGCCGAAGTCGGCGTCGGGGAGCTCTACGCCCCTGCACGCGCCATTCTCGCGGGTGCTCTGCGGGTCCGGCCGTCGTTGCCAGTGCATCCCGGGAGAGTTACCACAGGCCCCGCGGAAGCTGAGGAAGGCCCGGCCACGGTTCGGCCGGCCCCGAGATCAGACCAAGCTGGCAGGGCGTCCGGATCGGAAGGATCCCGCGAGGTCTTCGCATCGGGGCCCAAGGAGGCCAGGGTTCGAGCTGTCAGGACCCTCGTCTTGGGCCAGGCGGTTCCGACGTCCTTAGGGGAACAAAAAGTGGCATAAGCATAAAAACTCGGAGGTCCGCGCGGATTTCTCGGATCGGCGCTGGGGCCTCCGAGAAACCCGCGCGGACCTCGGAGTTTTATTGTTTATGTTTTTTTTGTTCCCCTAGTCCCTGGTGGGCGTGAAGAGGGGGAGCAGGGAGTCCAGGTGCGGGAGGGCGGGGAGACAAGTGAGACGCGGACGGACGGGGACCAGGTTGGATGACTCGTCGCGCCAGCGCTCTGTCGTGGCGCTTTTAGCAGCTACGCAGGGCAACGAAGCGACGGAGGAGCAGCAGCAGAAGGGTCATAGCAAAGAAACGAATCATATGAAGGAAGCGGAGGAGGAGGAATAGGATGAGGAGGGACGCATGAATATCAAATGGATGGGGAGGGAGGGAGGTGCAGGAGGATGGGGGGGGACGAGGAGGATGGGGAAGATGGGGAGGCTCAGAATAATGGGAAGGATGGGCAGGACGAGAAGGAGGCGGGGGAGGTGGAAGCAAGGGGAAGAAGGGGCAATGGGGGGTTTTGACGTTCGCTTCGGGGCGAATGCAGGCCGCGCCGCCCTCGTCGGCCAGCAGGTGGCCCCCTGGCGGCGCGAGGGGGCGCTGCCGATGCCACCGCGGCTCCACCGTGCCCGGCCCCAGAATGGCGTAAGGGGGAGGGCGGAGCGAAGAGGGCGAGGAGGTGGGGAAGGAGGAGTCGGGAGCGGAAAAGAGGGGGGTGATGACTAGGGGGGGGTGGATATCATGGCGCGGGCCATGATATTTCCCCAGATTTCATGGCGCCTCTTCTTATTTCATTACGTCCCTGGCCCCCCCGCTGGGCCGCGCACATGCCGCCGGTCATGATTTGCACCCCCCCCTCTTTGACGCCCCCCTCTTTGCCGCCCCCCAATTGACCAGGAGGGACAAGAACACACACAGAGACACGAATAATCGTCACGGCAAGTGGAGGGGGAAGACGAACCTCCAGAATCATACCAAAACAAATGACAGATCAGGGGATCCTGGGCTCTGTGCGCATCGCTTCGAATGAGAGGGGGAGGGGGGGAGGAGGGCAAGGCGGGAGAAGCAAGAGGACGAGGGCGAAGGACGAGGAGCAGGAACCGGAGGAGCGAAGGGTCGGATGGCGATAAAAGGCTCTGTTTGGTATATGGAGTTTGCTCGTGGAGTCAGTATCGTTTCACCGACACCTATCCCAATTCCCATCCCTACCCAGATCCCCCACCACCAAAGAACCCCAGTTGGGGATATACTTCTCGAAACCTGAAGGAAACCGCCTATGTCGAATGGCGATGCAAGTGAGGTTATGTCTGGTATACAGTGGGGGCGCGCATCAAGAAATTTATATTTTTCGTCATGGTACTCTGGGTTTCTGCGCTCCGCGCGCTGCGCGGTGACTTCCCGCGGCCGTTGAAGAAGCTGGTGCGTTCAGGGTGCTCCAGCTTTCCCCTTTAGGTGCAGCTATAGTTTAGGGCTGGGTTTCTTCGGATGGTTTCTTGCGGCCGCGTCCGAACTGTATGGAATCTGTTCGTGGAGGTAGCCGTCACATTTGGTGATCATATCCGTGGATTTTGTGTCGCGGATTTCGGGGGGCATACGTTGTTTTTGGCAGTCGCCCACGGTTCGAACCTATTCACATCAGGCTAGTATGAATCCTTTCTATGATATCTCTCGTGTCCCTCGCCCTTGTCCCCCACCATCCTGTGCTATTAGGTCCTTGTTTTGAAGAGACCTCGCCTCGCGCCCTTCCTCCCTCTTCCTCCCCATCTCCTCCTCTTCTCTCCCTGCCTCTGCTCCCCGCACTCATCACCATCAGTATCATCCTCATCAGAAGCAGCAGCATCAGCAGCAGCCTCAGCATCAGCATCAGCATTATCATCGTCATACTCATCTTCAGCATTATCATCAGCAGCATCATCAGCATCATCAGCATCACCAGCAGTATCATCATCCGTATCATCACCATCATCATTATCAGCATCATCATCATCATCATCACCACCATAATCATCATCATCAGCATCATCATCATCAGCAGCATCATCGTCATCATCATCATCACCACCATCGTCATCATCGTCACCATCGTCAGCATCATCATCACCATCAGCATCATCATCGTCATCAATACGGTACACCCCCCACGAGGATCGATCAGACGGCACACCCCTCACGATAATCGTGGCCCCGTAGGGAAGGAGCTCTACATGAGGCTCCAGTGGCAGGGGTTGCATGGGGGCTCCGCACCCGTGTCGGTACACCCCTCAAGGATCGTAGCCCCGCTGGGAGTTCCACAGAAGGCTCCAGTAGCAGGGGTTGCATGGGGGTTCCGCACCCATTTCGGTACACCCCTCATGCGGATCGTGGCCCCGTTGCGAGCTCCACAGAAGGCTCCAGTGACAGGGTTTGCATGGGGGGTCCGCTCCAATTTCGGTACACCCTTCACGAGGATCGTGGCCCCCTAGGGAAGGAGATCCACGGAAGGCAGAGGCAGGGGTTGCATGGGGATTTCGGCGCCCTCCTCACAAGGATCTTGGTCCCGTAGGGAGCTCCAAGGCACACAAGGGAGGAGGAGGAGGAGGAGAAGGAGGAGGGGGATGAGGAAAAAGGGGAGGAGGAGGAGGAGGAGGAGGACGAGGAGGAGGACGAGGAGGAGGAGGAGGAGGAGGAGGAGGAGGAGGAGGAGGGAGGAGAGGAGTGAGGAGGAGGAGGAGGAGGAGGAGGAGGAGGAGGAGGAGGAGGAGGGAGGAGGAGGAGGAGGAGGAGGAGTAGGAGGAAAAGGAGGAGGAGGAGGAGGAGTAGGAGGAAAAGGAGGAGGATGAGGAGGAGGAGGAGGAGGGGACCAGGAGGAGGAACATGAGGAGGGGGATGAGGAAAAGGGGGAGAAGGAGGAGGAGGAGGAGGAGGAGGAGGAGGAAGAGGAGGACGAGGAGGAGGAGGAGGACGAGGAGGACGAGGAGGAGGAGGACAAGGAGGAGGAGAATGGGAACGGGGACGGCGGGAGGAAACACGAAAAAGGCCCCCCTGTCCGGCGGCGGGAGAGGAAACATGCATTGATTCTTTGTCCTTCATATATTCTTCCATGCTTTTCCTTCGAGCTTGTCGTTTTACTTATCTGAGTTGTACACGTTTTCTGATGACCACTGTTTTTTGGGTGTGTGGGGCCCGCCTTCGGGCCCCCGAGACCTTCAGAAACAGATCTATGGCGAAACAGTGCACGCCCTCACACGTTTCGTGGCCCCATCAAGAGCTCAACCGAAGGTCACAGCGGCCGTCATCGGATGCGCCCCCCCACAGCCCGCATGCGGTACCCGCCCCATGTTGGCACACCCTTCACGCGGTTTGCCCGTGTCACGCGGTTCGCGGCCCCATTGGGGGTTCCCTTTCGATCGTCTCCGTTGCTTTGCGGTGCTCACAACTGCATACAAATCCATATGCTTGGGCCTTACGCCAGAGCATGTTATTTGTCACGCTCCCTTCGATTAGATGGTGCACATCCCCAGTCCTTTCCTCAACTTGCCCCCATGATTCATCAATGCAGATCTTCCCCTCGTTCCTACAAGCTGTCCCTGACCATCTGGAAGGCGTACAGTCAACCTGCATAGCAAGGATGGGCAACCCTCCCAAGGGTACCCTTGCATCGTTGCCTCCTGGGTCCAACCTTGGACACTTTCGTTGGCCGCGCCCCGCTCGAAACGCTTCGAAATGGGCGTCCAAGGCCCTTGCATCCGTATCGCGCATCCTTGCTATCCGGATTGACTGTAGTCCCCTTGGTTTCGCTCGGACGTGTGCATTTTTCCTTCGGCAAGGACAATCTAGGAGCATCCTTGATCATGTAGCAAAAAAAACCACGCACCAAACCGAAAAAAAAACACAGGGAATGGACATCCGAGCGATGGCCAGTTCCTGGAACACTGGGCTGGGCATGTTTGAGAGGTGAGGGCGCCCTCCACCCTGCGAAGGGCTCGGCGCCTCTGCTTTTCCCCGCAGCTCGCGACCCAGGAGTGCTCCTGGGCACGTGCTGCTGCTGCGGCTTGGTGGGGGCCCTGGGGCTGGGAAGCAGGAGCAGGTGCAGTCAACCATGATTGTAAGGAAGTCGAGTGTGGCCCGTGACAGCGGCGGGCGGGACGCAGCCCGGCGTCAGGGGAGAAGCGGTGCATTCAGATAACATGAGCGCACATACACACAAACACACACACACACACGCACACGCGCGCTCCAGCGGTGGTTTCACGAGTACCGTGGTTGTACCATTCCAGTCCATGAGGGGCAGGCTGAGTTTTGGGCTGTGGCATAGACTACAGCGTTGTCAATATGTTGAGCCCGTCTCTGGATGCTCTCGGTATCGTGCCGCCTGGTTTTGCTCAGACCGTTCGTGGAGAGGCGGTCGGGAGGATGCCGCCCGCCCTTCGGATCCACCTTGAACATATCGATCTGCAGCACGGCCATCCCGCCATTGCATTGGACAAGCAAGGCTCAGGTTCCGCCCGGTGGATGCAAGTTGGTGCTCCCAGTCGGGGGGCATTCCACAGTTTTGCGGGTCGTGCACCGTGCACGTGCCTATCTCGGAGAGCAGACAGAGGAAGGAACAGAGACAGTGGTCGGAGGGGAAGAAGAAGGGAGAGGATTTGGCAGGGTTGTGGGGGTGCGAGAGGGAGGGGGGATGGGAAGGGAGGGGAGGGAAAAGAGAAGGAGGGAGGGGATGGGGGCAGGTTGGTGGGGCAGGCATGAGCTCCCGCCTCTTATTTCAGCACGCCCCTCACACCTGACGTGGCCCCGTAGGGAGCTCCAACTAAGTCCAAAAGGTAAGATTTTGCATGAGCTCCCCAGCCTCACATTTCGGCACGCAACTCACACGTTCTCGTGGCCTCATAGGAAGCTCAACCGAAGGCCTCAGTGGCAGGGTTCGCATGGCGGCCCCGCCTGAATCTTGGCACACCCCTCACATGCTTCGTGGCAGCATAGGGAGCCCAAACTGAGGCCCCGATGCCAGGGTTCGCATGAGCTTCCGCCTTGCATTGCGGAAGACCCCTCACCGGCTCTGTGGCCCCATATATAGGACATGCGCTCCCGCCATTAATTTCGGCATACCCCTCTGGCGCTTCGTTGCATCATAAGGAGCCGTACCGAATGCCTAAATGCCAGCTCGCGCGAGCTCTCGCCTCTCATGTCGGCACGGCCCTTACACGTTTTCGTGGCCACATAGGAAGCCCCGCCGAAGGCCCAAATGCAAGCGTTCGCATGAACTCCCGCCTCGCATCCCCGCATGCCGCTCACGCATTCCGTGACCTCATGGGGCGCCTTTCCGAAGGCCCAAGTGCCAGGGATCGCACGACGTCCCGCCACTCCTTTCGGCACACCCATCACATGCTGCGTTGCCACATCGCGCGCCCCAAGCAAGCAAGCAAAGGCCCTGCATCCTGTAAGACGCGTCGGCATACTCGAAGTTGCGCCATAGGCAACCGAGTGAGATAATGAAAGCATAAGTGCGTCGAACGTTGTAGCGATGGGAAGGGGAATAGAGAGAGAGAGAGAGAAAGAGAGAGTGCCAAGATTCGCATGAGTTCCCGCCTCTCATCCGGGCACACCGCACGCTTGGCGTGGCCCCCTGGGAAACCCCACCGAGGGCCCACCGGCAAGGGATCGCATGAGCTCCCGCCTCGCATCCAAGGCACTCCCCTGACACGTTCCCGTGGCTTCGGAAGGAGCTCCACCGAGGGTTTCGGTGGCAGGGTTCGCGTGGCGGCCCCTCCCCAGTTTCGACACACCTCTCGCACGCTTCGTGGCACCACTGGGAGCTCAAGCTGAGACCCCGATGCCAGGGTTCGCATGAGCTTCCGCCGTGCATTGCGGCGTACCCCTCACACGCTTCGGGGCCCCATAGGCACCCCTCGATTTCCCGCCCCTCATTTCGGCACGCTCCTCACATGTGTCGTGGATCGGAAGGTCTACCGAAGGCCTAAATACCAGGGTTCGCATGAGCTCCCGCCTCTCATTTCAGCACGCCCCGCGCACGTGTCGAGGCGCCATAGGGAGCTCCACCGAAGGCCTAAATGCAAGGGTTCGCATGAGTTCCCGCCTCTCATGTCTGCACACCCCTCACACGTGTCGTGGCCCCATACGAAGCTCCACCGAAGGCCTAACTGCAAGGGTGTGCATGACGGCCCCGCCTGAATTTCAGCACACCCATCACACGTATCGTGGCCGCAGAGGGTGATCCACCGAAGGCCCCAGTGGCAGGGTTCGCATGGCGGCCCCGCCTGAATTTCGGCACACCCACCACACGCATCGTGACCGCACATGGGGATCCACCGAAGGCCCTAGTGGCAGGGTTCGCACGGCGGCCCCGCCTCCATTTCGACACACCCCTCACACATTCGGTGGCCCCGCAGGGAGATCCACCGAAGGCCCCTGTGGCAGGGTTCGCATCGAGGGGGAAGGGCGCCCCATTTCTGCACACCCCATCACATGATTCGTGGGCCCACAGGGAGATCCACCAAAGGCCCCCGTGCCAAGGAGGAGGAGGAAGAGGAGGAGGAGGAGGAGGAGGAGGAGGAGGAGAGGGCAGGGAGGAGGAGGAGGGGAGGGCAGAAGCAGGAGGAGGAGGAGGAGGAGGAGGAGGGAGGAGAGGAGGAGGGGGGGAGGAGGAGGAGGAGGAGAGGAGGAGGAGGAGGAGAGGAGGAGGAGGAGGAGGAGGGAGGAGGAGGAGGAGGAGGAGGAGGAGGAGGAGGAGGAGGAGAGGAGGAGGGGGGAGCGCGGGCCCACAGGCCGCAGGAAGCTGCAAGCAGCGGCGCCAGTGCCGGTGCCCGCATGGCGGCACCGCCTCATGTCGGCACACCCCTCGCACGAGCTGTTGGGCCCACATGGAGTGTACCTTCCTCCTCCTCCTCCTCTCCTCCTCCCCTCCTCCTCCTCCTCCCCCCTCCTCCTCCTTCCTCCTCCTCCCCCCCCCCTCCTCCTCCTCCTCCTCCTCCTCCTCTCCTCCTCCTCCCTCCTCCTCATCCTCCTCTCCTCCCTCCTCTCCTCCTCCTCCTCCCCCCCTCCTCCTCCCCCTCCTCCCCTCCTCCTCCTCCTCCTCCTCCCTCCTCCTCCTCCTCATCCTCCTCCTCCTCCTCCTCCTCTCCTCCTCCTCCTCCTCCTCCTCCTCCTCCCTCCTCCCCCTCCCTCCTCCTCCCCCCCCCCTCCTCCTCCTCTTCCTCTCCTCCTCCTCCTCCTCCTCCTCCTCCTCCTCCTCCTCCTCCTCCTGCTCCTCCTCTTCCTAATCCTTGTTGCCAGGACAGCGTGTAATCCTTCGTGTAATCTTGTGACTCGCTAGTGGGCGATATATCTCGACTAGGCGTAAGAGTGACCTTTCGCTGGAGTGACCTTTGATGCGGGCACACTCCTTTGATGCGGGCACAATTGGGTCTCCAGATGGCTGAAAACGAAGCAGGAGCAGCGGCCTGCGCGCCCTGGTTTGGTCCCCCCGCGGCCCCCAAAAAACCGCGCACCAAAGCCGAAAGGGCCCCGAACTTCCAGGGAGCAGGCGGGTGGCTGTGCTCTGATGCTCCGTGGCCCGAGGTCTCTCGCGAGGAGCAGGAGGGACGGCCGAGGAGGCGGGGGAGGAGCAGCCCTCGCCGCGGCCGCCGCCGTCCGCGCCACGCGAGGCATCAGTTCCGTGACCCACGGGAGCAGATCGGCGTCGGGCTGGGGGGGTGCTCGGGCGAGGGATCCACCCCTCCTGGCGCCCGAGCGCTGGAGACCCGCCTCTCAAGGCTCGCGCGCCCCGCGGGGTGGCCCAGCACGGCCAGCGATTCCATCGCTGGATGGCGGCCGCTGTCGGCAGCGCCATGGCACAGGCCTCGGGAAAAAACAGTTCAGTGTATCCTGTTTTGGTCCACGCTCGCCGTGATATAGGTACCCGCTTTTTGCAGCAGGTGCTCGAAACATGGGTGGTTTCGCTTGGCACAACTGGAAAACATGTTCTGTCCCGACTGTTTCGGGCCTCCTGATTTAGGCGCGGTTCTTCTCAGTATCCGATGCCCTGGGTACGCATCCGCAGAGTTGACGTGAAAGACGCGGGCGGGCGGTCCGCGGGTGTATTCTCAGGTATCCTGGCGGGGGCTAGTTGGGCGGGCAGCGGGCTAGCCCTTCGAGGCTGGCGATCAAAACCTGCACTTGACTTAAATGCCCTCCCAAAGCTTTTTGGGGTACTTCCGTAGACATGTCGGCGTCAGTTTTTCTTTCAAGAGGTTCCCTGCGCCGTGCGCGGCCGCTGGCACCGCCGGCCTAATCGGTGGTTGCGTTGTCCGCGACCGCTCACGTGCGCGGGAGCTCCAATGGCCTCCAGGAAGCGGACGATTTGCCCCCTATGAGCAAGTCTCTGACTGCTCCGACGTTGGCACAGATTCTGGCACCAACAGCAGTCTGGGTTGACGTCGGCAAGGGCGAGTGTACAAACGTAGACGGCGATGTAGTGAACAACGGGTACTCCTGGAGTAAACGCAGGCAGAGTGCGAAGACAGTACAATCGCGAACGGCATAGGCTACGCCTGCAACGCGGCCAACAGCTGCTGCAGGATGCACTGTCAGGATACATTCGTGGGCAAAGGACAAACCAGCGGCAGATGGGCCAATCGCCCTGTCGCATTGCAGATGGGCCCGTCTCGTATGCCGAAGGCGACGCGGGGGTGCGGTGCAGATGTGCGCTGCTATGCTCTGTGCAGCACGACCGCCACGAGTTTCTCCAAGGCTCAGGAGGGAAAGAAACACAGACACAATTAATCGGCGATTCCCCAGAAAATATGGGAAAATATGGGAAGTGCGGGGGAAGACAAAAACACAGAAAATATGGGAAAATATGGGGGATCTTTTTAGTTGTGTGTATTCATTTGTGTGTCCCGGGGCCCCTCCAAAGGCATCCGCTCGGGAGCCCTGAGACGGGGGTCAATGCAGACGGGGGTCAGCCAGGGCGCCAGATCCTGCAGGATCCTGCGAAGACCCCCTCTGGCTGACCCGGGTTAGGGAGCCGCTCGTGGCCCCGAGGCGGCCGCACATATTGACTGACCCGGGTTTGCGAAGGTCTGCGTTGCAGTTGTTTTTTCCTGCATTGCAGTTTTTGGTTTCCTGCTGACCCGGGTCTGGATTGACCCGGGTCAGAAGATCCCCGATCCGCCACCACAACAAGCCACCACGACGACCCTTTCCCGATCGCCGACGCGCGCCGCCCGACGGCATGGCCGCGCTGCCGGGGGCCGGCGCTCGGCCCTCCTGGGGCGGGGGCTGCACGGAAGGCATCGTCGCGGGCATACTGGAGGGACTCGACGACGTCGTCGGCAACATCTTCGAGGGGCTCGGTGGCATCGGGAGCTTCCTGTCAGAGGTGATTGGGAGCCGCGTAATGGGGGGGTCATAAATGGGGGGGGGGGGGGGCGAGGGTGGTTCGAAAAGGTACCCAAACGGTACCTAAACGAGCCCCCTGGGGCTCTGGAGGGGCCCGAAAGGAGCACGAGAGGGGACCTTTCCTGATCCCCCCGTTCATGACCCCCCCATTAAGTCCCGTCCGAGGTGAGCGCGTGCGAGTTCCAAGTTGGCGTCCTCCACGCAGCGGCACTCCTCGCCGTCTCGAGGAGCGTACACCCGGAGCACATCGCCCATGTCCCTCGCCCTGGCCGACGACGTGGAGCTCCTGGCAGGCGAGGACGTGGGACAGCTGATGTCGCTGAAGCAGCATCTGGCAAACGACCCTCCAGAGGGAACCAGCCAGGGCGGCCGCGACAGGTGCAGGCGGGCGGTGGCCGGGGAGGGCATGCTCGAGCATCACAGGCATCAAGTCAGCCGCCACGCGAGCTGCTGCTGCCAGGCGCAAGCCACGGTGCTGTCGACGCTCGTCCGTGGCCAAGCGGGGTTCGCGCTCGTCCGCAGCATCACGGCTTCGCGCTCCTTGCGGGCCGTTATCTTCTGCATGGACTTGCTGGGGTCCCTGGTGCTGGCCACCGCGCTGTGCTCCGCGAGCGGCGGAGGAAGAGGTCGCCGAAGGGTTGCCAGTCCAGCTGCAATAATCTGAGTTCAAGTATAGATCAGCAGACTTGTGAATCGAGGACGCCGACGGCGAATCACCGCCGCCCCCTGCCTTCTGGAATCGCCCATGTGGCCGCGAGTTGTGGCAGGAGCTCTGCCAAGCTATCGGACCATGTGTTCCCCCAGTCGTTGTGGAAACCCTCCAGGGAACACTTGGGGGAGGATGGCGGGGAAGATCAGGAGGAGGAGGAGGAGGAGGAGGAGGAGAAGAAAAAGGAAGAGGAGGAGGAGGAGGAGGAGGAGGAGGAGGAGGAAAAGGGGGCATCTCGGGAGCCTTTGGGGACACTCTTGAGGCCTCCTGGGAGCTTCCTGGGAGCCTCTTGGAGGCATCTTGGATGCCTCCTTGGGCCTCTTGAGGGCCTGAGGGCTTCTCGGGGGCCTCTGTGCCCGTCTCAGGGCGTTCCTGGCGCGTCTGACGCAGCCAGAAGCTGTCTTGGGGGTCTCTCGGGGCCGAGTAGACCTCTTGGGCCGTCTTGGGACCTCTTGGGGCCGTCTTGGGAGCCTCTTGGGCCGTTCTGGGGCCATCTTGGAGGCCTCTTGGGCGATCTTTGGGCGATCGCTGGGGGCTTTCGGGCAGTCTCGGGCCGTCGGACTGCCGAAAAGAAACGAATGCACCAATCCGATACATGTATAGAGACATATATATATATATATATATATATATAGAATCATCACACACACATATACATATATATATATATATATAGATATGTGTGTATGTACGTATATATACAGGAAATCAAAACAAATGCCTCTTCGGGCCTTCCTGGAGGCCCTCTTGGTGTCCTCTTGGGCCGTCTTGGAGGCCTCTCGAGCCGTCTTGGAGGACGTTTTGGGCCGTCGCAGGCCATCTTGAGGCCATCTTGGGCCGTGTTGGGTGCGTCTTGGGGCCATGTTGGGGTCTCTTGGGGCGATCTTGGCCGTCTTGAGGCATCTTGGAGGCCATCTTGAGACATCCTGCGGTCCCTTCTGGGTAGCCTGGCGCGATGGGCCGAAGCCCCACGTAGATATTTTTCGGAAAAAAGAGCAACCAAACCAAGCCGTATAGGATTCAGCACGCCAGATGCCCCCTGTGATAAATCAACAGGGGGCGGCGGATGAATGGCCTTCGGCCCATCCCGCCACCGTGCCTGGGTTGTGGGTATGAGGCCTCCTGGATTTTCGTCGGGATCTCGTCGACGCCTGTCGGGGGCCTCCTGGAGGCAGTTCTGAAGCCCTTGGGGCGGGTCTGTTGGGGCCTCTTTTGAGCCTCTTAGGGGCTTCTTGGGCGTCTCGTGGGGGCCTCTTCGGGGCGTCTTGGGGCCTCCTGTGCGCTTCTTGGGACGGAAGGCCTGGATGTTCGGTTCGTGTTCCCCTCTTGGGCGCCTCTTGGGGCCGTCTCGGGGCCCTCTCCGGGGCCTGTAGTGCCGTCTTGGGGCGGTATTGGTGGCCTCTTGAGACGTCTTGGAGCGGCGGAAGCTCGAAAAGTGGAGAAGCCCAAACACATGGAAAAAACAATGTAAGGACTTCGGGGCATCTTGGCATCTTATTCTGCCAACTGGAGGCCATCGAGGGCGTCTTGGACCCGCCGTTCAGCGATTCGGGACCCCCCTTGGACCGTCTCGGGGGCCTCTTGGGAACCCAGGACACTGCCCTGGGGAGTTCGGGCATCCGTAAGGGGAGTTTGCCGGGTATGCTTCGTCTGGGGGTCCGCGGCCCCGCGCGCGCGAGCTATACATATTAGAAATTTGGCAGCGGAGAGCTCAGCACGCCTGTCGCCCGCTGGGCCAGCGAATTCTGATTATGCAATATTCGTAACATTCAATGTTCTGCAGACCGTGCGATGTTCTCAACACTGCAGCATCAGTAACCTGTTCATGAATTCTTTTACTGGGTGCCGTCAGGCACGTGGCTGCATTCATTCATGCAGCCAGTGTTTACACAGCTGTCTGCGGGCCTGCGGCAAGTCCGTCACCGTGCCAGCGGCACACTTTGTGTGTCGATCTTCGGGCATTGCCCTGCAGCCCGTCACACGTGCCCTCTCTCGTCTCCATCTGCTGAGGAGCTCTCATGTGGCTTGTGTCGGCCGTCCTGGGGCTGTCTTTGGCTCTTGTAGGCGGTTCTTGTGGGGGAGTCTTGGGAGTCGGTGGTTTGGGCCCCCTTGGGTCGTCTCTCGGGCCATCTTGAGCCGTTTGGGGGTTGCCTTGGGCCGTCCAGAAGCCCTCTTAGCAGTCTTAGGAGCCTCCCCCCATTGCGATGCCCCAGTGCCGTGGCTGCCACATCGCGGTGGTCATGGAGCTCTGAAGGGAAAGGAGTTTGGGTGCATAAACAAGCGTTTTGCCTGAGACGTCCCCACATCTGGGCGCGAACTGGCCCGTGATATACCCCCTGATTGCTCCCCGTTGCAACGCTCAGGTGCGATATCAGCTGCACTGCGGTGGTCATGGGGCTCTGAGGGAGGGGGGCGGAGTCTTGGGGCTTCCACACCACAATCCCATCTGCCTGCGAACGGGCCCGTGCGATACTCCAGATTTCGTAATAAAAGGGAGGGGGTCTGGACCCTCCAAGACAAGCCATTTCAGACCTCCCCCGTGGGAGAGAACCCTCCAAAACATCGTTCCCAGACCCCCCAAGCCCCCCAAGATAGCCTGGAAGAGATCCCCCCGAAATAAGACCCCCCTCCCTTTATTACGAATTCTGGAGTGCCTTCCGTCGGCTTCCCCATTGTGGGGCCCAAGTGCTATACCTGCCACATCGCTATGGTCATGTGGCTCAGGACGGGGAGGAGTTGGGGTGCTAACCGCAGCGTTTTGTTTGAGACGTCTGCCCGCGAGCGGGGCCGTGATGCCTCCCCTGGCGGCTTCGCCTTGGCGTGCTCAATTGCTATGCCTCCTACATCGTCGTGGTCAAGGGACTCATGGGTGTCATTGAACCGGGGTTTCAGTGGGCACGCGTGTGGGAGTGGGTGTGGGTATCACGTGGTGCAGAGCAATTGCCACTTGAGGCGAGTCGCGTGTACGATTCAAGTGGTTCTTGATCGGCATGATTCGGGGCATGTAGTCTATATGCTTCATCTGGTACCAGTCTTGCACCGCTTGAGGCATATCGTGTGCATGCTTGAATTGGCACCCTCCAAGCACCGCTTGAGGCAAGTCGTCTGTATGCCTGCAGTGCGACCGACCCAAGATCACTTGAAGCATGTCGTCTGTGTGCATCATGAGGAGGACAAGTACCACTTGTGGCCTGTCGTCTGTGTGCCTCAAGTGGTACCTGTCTCGCACCACTTGTGGCATATCGTCTGTGTGCTGCAAGTGGTATCGACTAAGTACTGCTGGAGGCACGTCGTCTGTATGCCTCTGATGGTACCACCTGGGGCACGTCGTCTGGCTGCGAGTCATAGGCCTTTTGAGTGTTCATTGTGCTCTCGTGGTAGGCCTCTCCAGTGCCTCTTGCGGTCAGGTTTGAAGCCTCTGGAAGTCGCTTTTGGGGCCTCTCTTTGGGTCTCTTTTGGGCCTCCTGAGGCCGCTCGGGGTCCTCGTGGGCAAGCTCGTGGGGTCCTCGTGGGGGCCTCGTGGCGCCTCGTGGGGCTCTCTTGGGACCTCCTGGGGCCCGTTCGGGGCGGGCGGCTCGAACTTTCGTCCGTGGTTCCTATCGGGAGCCCTTGCCCTCTTGGGGCGTTTTGATCGCCTTTGGGCCGTCTTGAGGCCCTCTTGGGTCGGTTTGGGAACCTCTTGGAGAACTCTTGGGCCGTCTTGGAGCGGTCTTGGAGGCCTCTAGGGCCGCCTGGGAGCGTCGGGAAGCCGAAAAGGCGAGAACGCCAAAACCCTTCAAAATCTTCAGGATGGCCTGGGGCCCTTCTGTAAGGCCTCCTGGAGGCATTTTTGGGCGCTGTGGAGGCTTCTTGGGCCACCTGCGGGCCAGCTTGAGCGTTTTGGAGCGATCGCTCGGCGACTCGGGGCCCTCTTGGACCGCCCTCTTGGCCCGTCTTGGGGGTGTCCTGGGCCCGAGCAATTCACGCGAAGACACCTCCCGAGCCCAGAGGGACACGCGGGAAGTCACAGGGGGGCACGCGGGGAACCCCAGGAGATTTCGGAATTCGGGGTCCAGGCCCCTCAAAGACCCCTCTGGAGTGAGGGTTGAGGCTGAAAGGCTTAGGCAAAAGGCCTGTGTACACGCCCACTCCGTGCCCGGAGGCACGGTGGCGGATTAACCATTGTTTCACCAAGCGTTTCATGTGCACGAGGGAATCGTGTTGATTGTCGGCGCAAAAAATGCCACGCTACACCTTGCCAGTCTTTGCTCGCTATTCTACTCTCTACTCTATTCCTCCTCCTCCCCTACTCATCCCTCACTTGTTGGTGCAGGGTTTCCTACTCAATCGTTTGTCCGTAGGCTGCGTCCTGCGAGTGGTTTCTGGCCGCCGTCCCGCGGGGAGGGCCTGCGCAGTTTCCAACTTAGCCAGTAATGCAGTCATGCCTTTTGTGCAACGTGTGGCGCCCCACATGTTGCACCGTTCGCCCGTAAGACGTGCGCTGTCATAAGAAAAGGTCCAGACGAAGGGCCCAGCCATGTGCGGCTGTGGTCACCACGGCTCTGACTACCGCCTTCGGTGGAGCTCCCCGTGGACCCACAAAGCGTCCGACCGGCGATGCCGAACTGTCTGCGATGCCGCCGTGCGGGCGCTGCCATCGGGGCCTTCGGTAGATCTCCCTAGGGGGCCACGGGACGTGTGCTTGGCATCGCTCGGACGTGTGCGTTTTTTCCTCGGCGAGGACCATCGAGGAGCATCCTCGACCATCTGGCGAAAAAAACACGCACGAAACCGAAAAAAGCACAGGGGATGGACGTCCGAGCGATGGCCAGCGGTGGATCTCTCTATGGGGCCACGGAACGTGTGAGGGGTGTGCCGGGAATCGGTGCGGTGCCACCGTGCGGGCGCTGCCACGGGGCCTACGCAGGAGCTCCCCGTGGGGCCACGAAGCGTGTGAGGGGCATGCCGAGATGTAC